GCGAATCCTAGGTCCTGTTCCACAGGCATTTAGCAGCCACTCAAACCTGGGAAATGGAAAGTTCTAGAACACATAGACCAAACTTAAAAACTTGAGTGATTCCCAGGAGGAGTTCAGTGATGCGGATGATTTCTGAATTTGTTGGGCTGGGGCCTGAGCAAAGGACCCCTGAGGGACCCCTGGGGGCCCTGTTTTACAGCTTCGTTCTAGGTTGCATAATGGGTTTTGCTGAGCTTTCTCACTTGCTGTTCCATTTCCTGAAAACACCAAATATGACCAGTGACAACCTCACAGCCTCATCCACTGCGACAGTGTTCCCGATCAGACGGGAACAGAGAATTGGACTAGCTGATGTCCCCCCCACCCCCTGCCCTAATAAAAATTCAAGTCTGACTTAGAGACCTTTCAATGTTTTGTTTTTATTTAGTTATTTTATAAGAGTGCTACATGTGTTTAGTTGAATACAAACATTGGAATAAGATAGAAAGAGGTGGCTGTCAAAGAACAATGATGGCTCATGCCCCAGCACCCCCCTAATCTTGGCCTCAGCTGTCAGCATCTATAGTAACCGGGGTCTGCGTGTACCCTGTTTACCGAGTGGAATCACAGCATGGACCATAGAGTTCTTCCACTTGAGCTCCTTGCGGCACCCCCACCTTGACAATCTCCAAAAGCAGTGTGGGGCCCTTCTCTATGTTTTGGCCGAATTCACCTAATAGAACCACAGACTGGTGGAATTTTAGAGATCGGGCCTTAATACCCTCCCGCCCACCAATGTACCATCAGATTCTACTTTCCAACAGTCTGGCACGCGAGTCAGCACCACACAGGCCTGATTTTACTGGGCACAGCAGACACTGTGCCTGGGGCCCCACTGTTAGGGGCCCAGGAAAACACCTTCATTTATTTTAAAAGCACCGGAAAAGAAGCAAATATAATCTAGCATGGATGATACCTGCCATTACACCAACACAGTCTTAAAATAATAGTTGGCATTCTTTTACAGAAGAAAAGGTTCACAGAAACCAAAGTGCCTAGTGCCACACAAGTCCAAGTATGGCTCCAACTGCATGTACTTGATCACCTCCAGGGACAGGGTGCTCACTACCTTAAGTTTACCTTCCACTCTCTCTGTCTACTCTCCCATAGTTCTTGAGGTTGTAAGGGAAGCTTTTAGTGCATTTGATTGTCTAGTATGAAGGCATATCCCCTTCTTCTATATGTGAGTCCTGATTTCATACACTTGCAAGGCCATGTGTCATGAGTTCTTACATGTCTCAGGGTCTCTGGGGAGTAGAAGACAACTATTATGACACCCTCTCCCTGACTTTTGTTTTCATTATAAACAAAGTCCGTGCTGTTCGCATTTCTACATCTGCCTGCATTTCAAGTGTCTCTGCTTCTTGCCTGCTGACTCCCAGGTGGAGAGTTCTGGGAGGCTTTTACACTGCTCCCCGACCCTGTCACCTGCCACCTTAAGAGTTCAGGTCCCCAGGTGTGAGCCTTTCATCACAGAGCAAGCACAGCCCTCTGCCTCCTCAAGCCACAGTCTGTCTGCTCCCCACACAGACCGTGATTTCAGGAGCCCCTCCAGCAGACACCTAACACTGGTGATTCATGGTGTGCGGCCCCAGGCCTTTTCTTCTCACATTTCCTCCATCCTCTATTTGTGCGCTTATGTTTTTAAACCCAAGCACAGAAACATAGAACAATCCCCAGTAGGCTCCATCTCATTAGATTCAGCCCATTCTCTGCTTGTCTAAATCTCTTTAGATCTAGAATGTGCCACTGACTAGTTTTGATTTGCTTCCCCGCTTCGTGCCAGCTGCAAATGAAGTTGATGTGCTTTTTATATGACTTAACCCCTCCGAAGCAGGCCCCTCATCTACAAAATGGGAGAGATTGTCAGCATGAGACGATCACACCTGTGAAGCGTCTTCCTACACACGAGGCCACGGAGCTCCACAAAAGGTCAGCGCTCTCCTGCATTTCCTGCTGTCCCGGACCTGTTGACGGCCACACTGGAAGGAGGGAGGCTCCATGGATCCCACTAGAGACTGTCCTTCCTTGATCATTATAGAGAGGGACCCGCTCGATTATTCAAGTCCCCTGATGGACATTTAAAATTGAATGGGCCTTGTCACTACTCTGGGAAAACCCAAAATGAGATATCCTCCCATATCCACCCTGTTAGGATGGCTAGGATCAAAAAAAAAAAAAAGAAGAAGAAGATAACAAATTTGGCAAAAGGCATGGAAAAAGGAACCCTTTCTCTAATCCTTGTGCATTTGGAAATGAAGATGTACAGCCATTGTGGAAGACAATGTGGACGTTTTTCACAAAGAGTAAAAAATAGAACTACCATATGATCACTTCTGGGTACATACAACCCAGGGACCTGAAGTCAGTGCCTTGCGGAGATGATTGTACTCACGAATTCACTTCAGCATTATTCTTCATGGCCGGGATACGGGAACACCCTGAGTGCCTGTCCACAGGGGACCAGAAAACAAGGTGGCGCATCTATAGACAGCAGAATATTAGGCAGCCTTGAAAGAGAAGGAAACGCTGCTATTTGCTACAACATGCCTGAGCCTGGAGGGCATTGTGCTGAGTGAAATAAGGCAGACACAGGGCAGGTAATGAGTGATCCCCTCTCCTAGAAGTAGGGAGCAGAATGGTGGGTGTCAGGAGCTGGGAGTGGGGGAAATGGGGAGATGTGGTCAGAGCACGGAGTCTCACACATGGAAAGTGAGTAAGTCCTGGGGATACACTGTCCAGCATAACTACGGTTAATGATACTGCATTACATACTTGTAACTTGCTAAGAGAGTAGAGTTGAAGTGTTCTTACACACACACACGCACACACACACACACACACACACACACACACACATATACACTAGTAACTAGGTAAGGCGACAGATTTTTTTAACTAGCTGTGTTGATCATTTCACAATGTATATGTCACATTGTACACCTTAAATATACACAATTTCTATTTGTCATTCATACTCCCAATAAAGGTGAAAAATGCAAAACAAAACCTGAATTGGCTTATTTGGTAATTGGGGTAATTTTATACTAAATTAGTCCATCTGCATGTCCTATACACCTCCTTCTAATCAATTCTAAAATAACTATATTTTCATGCTATAGGCAAAGCTTTCTATCAAAGAGGACAGATTACTTAGATAATTGTTTAATGTTCCACCTTTGCCCTGTCGAAACATACAGTAGTTGTCCAAAGTTGGGACCTCAGAGAAATAATAAAAAATATATGTGACCTAGAAAAACTAAGCAGAAGAGCTCTGTGTATGTATAAAGGCATCTTTGAGATTTGCTTTTTTCTCCCTGACTCTTCTCTTGTTTGCATCACCAACTTTCCTGCCATTTCCTGATGCCAGTTTGAAGCCGGGAGGCCCTAAGTCATTTTTCTTGAGCAGAAGAGTCGAGAGTTGCTAGTGTCCACTTTTGAGCTGCACCTGGTTCCCCCTGGTCTCTCTTAAAAGGACCTAAATGTGCAGGCTTTTGCAGAATCTGCCCTGCATGACTCCCATCTCACCCGTTTCAGAGAAACCTGGGAAGGAGAGCGGGAAGGAGCCTGTGAGTTATTGTTATTTATGACCTGCTGTCTGCAGCCTGTGTCCAGCTGAGAGCTTGGTGCTGGCTGTTTCAGACTCAGCCCGAGACCATCAGGGCTTTGGAGGAATGACAGGGACTCTCAGGCCAGTGACACTGTGCACACCGGGTGCCACGAAGCCCTGAAGACCAGGGGCAAGCAATGGGGGTGCTGGCCAACTGGGGTGGAAGAAGGTGCATCTGCTTGGAGAGCCTGCTGATTCACCTTCCGACCCGGTCTTACTCCACCACCTCATTTTTCAGGCCACAGATGGACTAGACTGCAGGGAGAGGTTAAGAAAATTCCAGATTGCATGGAGGGGATGTTCTCAGGCCTTTGAAACTGCACATAGGGTAGGAAGGCATGGACCAGACACCCAGACACACAGACAGAAGCTGATAGGCTGAGTTTTTATAGTGTGTGGACAGGTCATAATGACAAAGTCAAAATACCTTTTGGGTCAAAAGGACAGAGGCAGTATGGTGGGGTCAGAATGACAGAGCCAAGCCCTCCTGCACCTCCAGACCAGGGGATGCTGGGGCTTTGGGTTCTGAGTGCTTTGAGAGCCTTTGGTACCAGAGCAGAGAGGGAGTGGAGCATGGATGTCTGAGGGGCACTGGGCCAGGAGACACGACCAGGAGATGCTGCACCTTGGCACCAGGCCCATGTGGGTGTGAATCCTGTTCTGCCCCAGGGGTGAGACCTGGGCAGGTCAGATGACCAAGCAGGGCCTCAGTCTCCCCCTGGGTCAAAGCTAGAGAGGGTTTTTGTGCTCGTGATGGGCAGGTAGGTCTTTGTCCACCCTTCTGTCCCCTGGACCCCAAATGCTAGTGTGTGTCAGGGTGTGGTCTCCACACCCACCATTCCCACGGATGGGGCCTAGTGCATCCCAGAAATGGCTTCCCTTCTTCTGTCTTTTATGTTCCTGCCTTAAAGTTGCAGTTAGCCCTAGACAGGGCCCAGTCGCTTTCCTTCTCCAGACTCTTTGCCAATTCCGCTCCCCTGGCACTCCGCCCTTCTCCACCTTCCCCGCCCTCTGTCCTAAATCCTGGCTAATTTTGACTTTCTTCATGTTTCAGCTTTCCTCTGAGTCCTTGTGGCCACGTGCTGCAAAGACAGGCTAGGTGCCCATCTCCGTGCTTGCTCCCTTAGAGTCCTCCTGGTACCATATTAGCTCCCCACCTGCCCGGTGCCAGCCTCGAAAACTGGACCAGCCTCCCACCTTTCCATTTCCATTGCCTACTACGGTGCTTGGCACACAGGGGCTGCTCAATAAATGTTCATTAAATGAAAGCGACTAGCTGAACACTCAGATTTCTCACCTTGTCTGTTGAAGTTCTAATCCATACAGAATGTCCTGCCAAGTGTCCCAGAAAACATGCCTTTGACAGGAGTAGGGTGGCTGGCCGCCGTTGCAACATGATGTACATTCACCTCTCACTAGTCCAGTCGGCCCATCCCTCAATTACTGGGTGCTTATCTTGTTCGCTAATTAGCCTATGTTTCCCCGAGGTAGAGTTGGGTGGAAAACATGGTTGAGATGTGTGGGCCTGGGACCAAGAAGGAAATTGATAAATCTTGCTCGGATGAAATTTTGGATGAACAGAGGGATGCAGTAGATACCTGGGTGTGAGCGAGGCATGCTTTCTGTGTTCCAGCACAGACGGCTGCTATAGAGGGCCCTGTTCCAGTTTGAGTCACAGATGCCTCCCCAGGGCTTCAAGGCACATGCACAATGTTTTGTAATCTTCAAAAAAGAATGTCAGCCCATCCCCATTTCCACATGCCCAAATCCTGCTCATTCTCTGAGGCAAAGCTCCGATGCAAGGTTGCCCATGAAGCTCGGAGTGTAACAACAGGCATCGAACAAGCATTTAATAAAGATTAGTTGTTAACACACAATGCTACTGCCTCCAGAAGTGCCATGCGGGGATCCCCACAGCTGTGGCCTGTCCTCTTTTCTGGAACTTTCTGGAGCTTTGGTCAATAGCATGGTATAGTGATCAGACAGAGCGGGGTTCACGGTGGGGTGCTGTTACTCACTTGCGGTGTGATCTCTGAAGGGTTCTTCCTATGCTCTTTATGTCTTGGTCTTCAGTATATGACAGAGTACCAATCAGCTCTGTTTAAGTTGTAGGTGAAAAAACTGCAGCCTCAACTGGCTGAAAGAAAAAGGAAACTTACTGGTTCACGTGATCAAAAAGGACCGGCACAGCTGGTTTCAGGCCTGGATGGGGGGCAGGAGTCGTATGATGTCATTGAAACTGGTATCCTTCCAGTAGCTGTCCTGGTTTCCTATTGTGTGGACTCCAGACAAGGGTTCCCCACGTGACTACTTGGTCGTACTGGCTCCAGTTCTAAATCCCCCCAGGGTAGGTCCAATGAGAGTCAGACTGAGTCCCCACAAGACAAATCAAAGTCATGGTTTGGGTGGTATTGGTCTGGGGTGGGTTGAGCCAATCCTTGTGACAAAGGGATGAAATATGCTGACTGACTCAGACTTAGATGCAGAAACGGGGTGTGCAGGGATGCAGGGGAATTCTCCGAGCCTCTCTAAATGTGATCAGGGTGCTATGAAGCCTGCCTCAAACGATGACTTGACTTGTAGTCGACACCTACGTGCTGCTCACCCATGCTAACTCACTGGGTCTTGCACTCCCACGAGGCATGTGCTGCTGTTCTTTCCATCTGAATGAGGAGGAAGCTAAGGTACAGAAGTGTTGGGGAGGTTGCCCAAGGTCACTACACTAGGCTGGTGTGTGGCACAAGGTATGAATCCAGGCTTGGCTGCAAAATTCACTCTTAACTCTTTCCTTTATTATCCATTGGAAGAGGAAGACAGAGAGAAAAAGACAAAATGGATACCGTAATACTTTACTGTAATATAATGCAGGGTAGTGTCATATAATGTAGCATTACATTATACAGCATAACAGAGTATTGTATATTGTACATCATATCATATCATTGCAGGCACTGGTAAGCGGGCCATCTTCATAACCATCCTGAAAACATCTCTCACCAGCATGGAGCATCAGAAATCTTGGATGGGTGTCGACTAGTGGACCAGATGAAACATTTTATGTGTACAGTGTGAGTCCTTTGGTCTAAGAACACTGTTTCTGCCATGAAATCATCATTATTATTACATTCCGATGTTTGTTTCAATCACACACAAAAGAACAAATGACCGAAAGGGGAAAGTTTGAGGGAAAATTAGGTGCCCTGAACTTTCCAGACCTAGTGCTCTCTGAGCTCCAGCGGTCATGGGTGTTTAAAGATGTCAGGTTCAACTGTGTTCATAAGGCTGTCTTATTGGCACGTTAGGGGGCAATGATCCGCGGCATCCTGTTTTACAGTCAGGTGGAGAAGGAGTTATGTGGCAGATGCAACTGACACACAGCTTTTGCACTTAATCCTTCCCCCCTTTTAAAAAATGTCTCTGGTATTTTTGAAATTTCCTTAACTCTCCTCACATTGGTGTTTGCTACACACAAATATGCACTGGTCAGTTTGCAGTTTATTTTTAAGTACTAAAGGGCACAGGGTGAACTGCAAAGTGGAGAGTTTAAATGTGTTTCGTGTAATGAGGAAGCATATCCCCTGTCCTGGCCTTCTCACAACACAGATATCAAGTCAGATAAATAACCATGAATTTCCTCACTTCATTCCTGCCTCCCACCCTGTAGCCCAGGATTATGTGAGGCATTTAGTCAAAACATAAAAGCAATTATAAAAATGCCCCTGAAATTACACTCACGTTTGCAATCAGGATTGCTAATATCTTGCCTCCCTCCACCATCCTTGTGTCATCTGATTTCAGTTCCCTTGAGGTGACTAAGAGTCTAGTCATTAATGTAACGCCCACCGACTTTATTGTAATTTACCATCAGAAAAGTCTGTTTCCAGAAACTCCCTGGGCTGAATGTAGCTGCAGTGCCAGTCCTCCTTGGCTATTGCACAAGTCGGTGCATTTTCTTTGTACTGGAATTGCTCCCCAAACGTGGGCACTAACATGAGATCGCTGTCTATTTAGAGGTTTGGTTTAAAGTTATGTAATAGAGGAATTCGATTTCTAGAACCCAGCCCCCTATTGCTCACATCCTTACCTTTCCAACAACATTGCGATGATTTGAGAGTAATGTGAGGGTGATGATGGTGGTGATGGTTTCACAGGAATACAGGGGACTGAGAAATACGACCCCATGAAGAAGCTGTAATTCAAAGCCAGATTATGGCAACTTCTGTAAGACAAATGTTCCAGTCTCTTCAGTAACTAAATGACATGTAAAAGAGAGAGGGAGAAGGGTTAACTGTTTCAGATTAAAACAGACATTCTTTCAGGTCTACAAGAAATGGCTCAAGGCCACAGAGGCAGCAGTAGAAGTCTGCAGGGGAGGGAGTGGTAGATGCTGTCCACACCACCTGCCCTTGTCCATGCCTCACCCTTCATCCTGGCTGACTCATATCACCTCCCTAATCGAAGGGGGGTGTATTTCCACTCTGTGCTTGAAGGGCCCACTGGTAGCATTTGTAGATTGTACATTGTAATCATACATGCATTTAAAAATTTTTGCCAAATGGAGACAACTGTAGATCCACATGCAGTTAAAGAAGTAATAGGCGATTTTAGTACATGTGTAGATGCATGTGACCACCACCACCTTCAAAAACAAGATCCAGAACCCTTACTTCACAAGGATGCCTCCTGCTAGACTTCTGTGGTTGCCTTTTTTACTTATCTAGCTCCATCCTGATTCTGTGGGCATCTTGAGCCGAGATTCTTATGTTTAATCTCTATGTCCTGTTTCACGCTGCCTCAAACCAGCACAGAACCTCTAGGCTGGTCTTATGGAAAAGTTTGTGGAATAGATTCAAATTCTATCACAGAAAGAAAGTAGGAAGTTCAGACTACTTTATAGAAAGGCTTTGGCCAAGAGGGAGAAAAAACACCCCAAGGTACAAAGCATGATGGAGATACAACATTTGAAGACCTTTTCCTCTATAAAGGATGGAGAAGAGCTCCGTGTAACCATAGCCTCACATCGCCTTAAAGTAGCACCTGCTCAGGTGATTCAAACAGAAGCTTGTACCCAGGAAGGACTAGACTTCTCTGTGAAATGAAGCATGAACAATAGACTTTTTTGGTCCTAATTTGCACCATTTTTCTATGAACTAGGGGCTCTGAAGTTAATGCACTTGAAAATAATGGATGTGTCATCTACTATTCCTCCACGAAGCCACACCTTGTGAGTGTCAACAGCACCTTGTGAGTGTCTGTTGTAGCTGGGGCTGATTAGAGCTATGGGGACACCTCAGGCCTGACAGAGAGAGTAACTTGAGCAAGGAACTGGGGGCGTTCGAGAGTCTTGGGATCGTCCTCTATAGACTATCTCACGACAGTCTTAGAAGAAGGAGAGCTTGCTTCACTGGCCCCCCACCTGCTCTTGGGTCTCACCCCGCTAATGGCGGGGTCATCAGAAAATGCCCTGGAGTGGCAGAGATCCCCGAATAACCCCAAATACTTAGCCATGTGCTTCCCTGATGCATGCAGACACCTATAAGACTTCTGAACCCCCAGGTTTTGATGAAAGAACAAATATCAAAGTATGGCAGATGAGTCTGAGTCCTTCCAAGCCATCCTGAAAGGGCAGTGAGCAGCTGACCCATCACAGAGCTCGCTAAGGATCAGGTCATATTGAAAGCTTGTTATAGGTCAAGCTTTGTGCTAGCTGGGTGGATAACGGGATTAAAAAAATCCTGTTCTTCATCATTTATCTTTCCATCTGCCTGTCCATCCACCCACCTGCTCATCCATTCCCTCCACTTTTATATACAGAGTCCAACACTTCTTAGTAGCCCCAGGGGACATGTGAAAGGACATTAAGGCAACAGCTTCTGGGACATTTTTGCACTATGTTCAAGGCATAAACACACCTTTGCCTCTTAGACACAGTGACAGTGATCCCTTAGGATATCTGCACAGCAGCTTGCTGATGGCCACAGGGGACCATGTCAGTTTCCTCCTGCTTTGAGTAAGAAGTGGGCTTGGGAGTCTGAGCAGGAAAGCAAACTGCTGTCGTGCATATACCTCAGCACTTAATGCATTTTATGGTTTTATTTCTCAGAAGTGAATCATCTTATGGAATATTAGCTTTTCCCTCGCTGGTATCTATTCAGAATTCTAGGGGAACCTACTACATATGAGATGTGCTGTGATTGTTCAGTATCACTTGAGGAAGGCATTTCTCTTAAAAACTTCAGGGAACTTTACTCAACTTCCTGGTGGTGGAGCGCCTCACAGAGAAGTCCACTTTGCTAGGGCTCATTCTTCCTGGCCCCCACATTGCCCCATGAGAATGAGCCTATATGGATGAAATGGAACAGTCTCTGGAGGGTTTAAAGGTGTGTCTCGTTGAGCCCAGTTTAGGGATGCATGTGCTCACCTGATACAGGAGGACTCCCCAACAGGATGCATGCTCCTGTGAGTCTGCACAGTATGGATTTCCTCCAGCTATTAGAAATAAAAATCAAATTGGCTGACCACCTAATTCTTCAGAGTGATATACCCTCATGGCAAGTATCCTTATTGCAAAACTCTTGTCCATACAGGTTTTTTTTTTAACATAAATGCTTATGTCATGCAACCAGAAATCCGGAAGAGAAAAGCCATGTAAACCAATGACAGGGCAGGAGTAGAGAGCCCGGGAACATGCAGCCAGAGCTCAGAGTGGCGCACATGTTGGTGCCACACAGGAACAGACAGCAGAGACACTGCAATGGGAAAAAGAGCAACAGGGATGGGTCAGGGCGCTCTGCCACGTTTTGAAGTTCCCTGCTATGAAGTTGTTATGCCCGGATACCCTTCCGTAACTTACAGGGTTAAGGAATGGTTATTGACGGCAGAATCAGAGACCGGGCTTTCCTCATTGTCCTAAGGGAGTTGACACGTAAGGTCTTAGCTGACCCTTGGGGACCTGTTCAGGGGGACTTGAGGGCTGCACTGGCTTCCGGGGCTCCTGTTCCTCCTCTGTAAAACATCAGAGCTGTGTCAAAGCACCACCAACTGCCACCCTAGACATCTACGGTTCTATGTGAGTATATTTCTCAGAGCTATTTCTACTTCAAAGCATGTGGCAGTGGCCCACACAGTATCTGGTACATGGCAGCCATAAGTGCCACTTGGTTTCCTTCTTCATTCCATGTGGGGAGGCCCCGGGAGGCATTGGTACACCTGCTGGGTTATCACTGGTTGTAGAAACAGCTAGATTCAATCAAATCCTCCACCAGCATGTATTTTATCATTGCAGCTAATCACTCTTTGTGCAGTCCTTTGGGTTTTCCTCTGAGAGGAGAAAGGTCTTGCATAAGCCACAGTGCGGTTGGCAGGACTAGGACCAGATGGTGACCCTCCTGACCTCAGCCTGTCCTCTTCTCCCGAGGCCCCACTGCATATCTTCCTTACCATGGCTGATGTGATACGGGCTCCCGGGACCTCTGGAGTCTCCATCACACGCAAGATCTGTGAGGAGGCTAACACCTGCACTCAGCCGGCAGATACAGCTACTGCCATTATTACTAATCGCCGGTGTACTGAGGGAATTCATAGAAAAGTGTGACTTAGCTTGTTTCGCTTCTGAGAACCGGAGGTTAATGCTTGCTCCTTGGAGGAAGTTCTGTGGCTTAGAAAGAGAAAGAAAATCACATACCAAAGTGACCTTTTCCCCCAACTGTTGTGCACACACAAAATTAATTAGCCAGGTTCTCTTCGGGTTGAAGTGGGAAGTGATGGGAAAAGTTCTGGAAGGATGACGCAGTCTGCGGGGTTCTCTCCCGCTCCTCTCACAGTGACCCCTGTATTAAATTGGTGCCTTTAGCAGGTCACAAGCTGGTTTTTCAGATGGGATGGCCTGGCAGCTCCTTCTGGCCTCTGAGCCAGCAGGCCCTGGGGCTGGCGAGGGAGACCATGGCTTGGCCTGCCTTTGCCTGTGAGGAAGAAAAAATTCCCAGACCCACTGTTGGTCAACCATGAAGGGCCACCTGCCAGGAGGCAGGGGCAGCAGAGCCTGGGAAAGGAGGACATGGCGGGGCAGTAGCTTGGGCAGTGGAGCCTCCCGGGCTGGCCGAGGCACCCAGGGCTGTGGGGGGCGGGACTGTGGGGTGAGGAGCCAGAGGGAGGGGGCGGTGAACGTCCTCCCACGGGGAGCTGGGCCACCGCGCAGGGTGTGGGAAGGAGGGCCAGACCTGGGAAACATGCCCGTCTTCTTGCCTCTCCCCTGATGGGAAGTCAGGGTCAGTGGAGGGGTCCCAGTGAGGGCACGGAGCCACAAAAGCCACTTGGTTACTGAATGCTGGCACTTGAGGTCTAACCTAAGCCTTGAGCAATCTCAGTGCCCGCAGGTCCTTAAATTCTAGTGCAGGCTTCTCATGATGCTTGCCTGTAAGAAAAGGAAATCATGTTCTAAGGCACTTGCTTTGCTTTCTCACACTCTCAGCACAGTTTATGGGGGCCCCCACAAAAGGCGGCTGGCCTCTTACTCATGTGCCCACCTCATGATGCTGTCCACCCCACCCTTTGGCTACCCTTTCACAGCTTATTCCTATATATTTGTCTTTTTCTCCCTATGCCTGTGAGCTCTGTGAGGGCCGGAATGGAATCTGCTCTTCCTACCTCCAAGTAAGTATAGTAGCAAATGGTTTATCATATGAACAAAGGGAAGGATGGATAAAAAGTCTGCGACTTTGGAAATTAGATATGGCTGTGAACATAAGCAAGTGTGTTCCTCGGGCGGCCCCTGGGGCCGGAAGGAATTTCCTTGTCTCAGGATCCAGTAAGGAAGGCCAACTTCTGCTCCAGCCTTGAGCACTCCTTCGAGGACAGAAGCATGCTCATTATTTGTCAGCATCATTAAAGCCAGATTAAAATGCACCCTGCCCCCAAAATGACACAAGAATTTGGTATCGAATGTTAATGAGTTATGCGTTCCTGGGTCTTTTTTGTGTTTTGCTTTTTTCCTTCCATTTCTCATCAGCACAAAAGAATGTTCTCTTTGTTTTTGGCTTTACCAGAAGTCACACTTATATGTGTACTGAAAGCTAAGTTTCTAAGTAAAAGAAGCACCATGACACCCCCTCGGTCCATTGACTGCTACCCAGGGAAGCCATCTGCTTGAAGATGTACCACATCCTTTCCACTGAAAAACCTGCTGCATTGTCAATGTTTTGTTGACCTGAGTCTCCTTCCTCTTGCATCCATGAGGTCAAAGGTCACATTCTTCTGACATTGAAGAGAGGCGAGGTCACCAAGAAGAAAGCTTTTTGGTTTCTCTAAAGAAGGGAATCCCCTTGCCCAAAGCATCCCTCAGATACCATATAAATCAACCCTCAAAAGGGTACAATTCAGTATTTTTTAAAAACATATTCACCAGATTATATACCACTAACCAATTCCAGGGTATTTTCATCACCTCCCCTCAAAACCTGTGCCCATGAGAAGCACCTCTCCACTTCCTCTCCCCCCAGCCCTCAGCAGCCACCAATTCTGTCTCTATATATTTGCCCATTTTGGACATTTCATATAGAAAGAATCATACAAAATGTGGTCTTTTATGGCTGTCTTCTTTCACTTAGCATAATGTTTTCAAAGTTCATCCACATTGTGGCATGTATCAGTGCTTCATTCCTTTTATGGCTGAGTAATATTCCATTGTATGGATATACCACCTTCTGCTTATTCATTCAGGTGTGGAGCGACATCTGGGTGGCTTCCACTGACCATTATGAACAACACTGTTCTGAACAGTTGTGTTCCAGTTGTTGTGTAGACATGTAGTTCCATTTCTCTTGGGTATATATACGTTGTAGCAGAATTGCTGAGTCATTGGACAACACAACATTCAATTGAGGAATTGCCAGGCTATTTTCTATCTCTTCCATCTTCTTTTCCTGGGACCACACAATGACCTCTTGCCCCCAGAGTTTTCCCTTCCCTCAGATCAGGTCTCCTCACTACAGCAGCAAGGAGCAAACTTTGTCACCCAACAGATGCCTTTAAGGCCTGCATGGTGATCAAGGTAAGATAGTGTCTAATAAACTGGGATTAAAGCGTAAACTGTATCACTCACTGTTTGAAACAGCTCATTATACCTCCTAGAATTAACGTACAGCTTACTAAGGTCTAGAATGCCCAGAAGGGTCTCTGCTTTTGCCTCCCTTTTGTAGATTATTTTCTAGTTGATCTGGCCTTCCTTGGATACTGGCTCTTTCCTGCATTGAACCTTTGTGCATATCACTTGTTTTCTGTGCCTAGATTAGAGCATGCCCTTCTTCATGAAGCTGGCCAAACGAATGAGTAAATAAGGGAACTCAGTATGTTCAATACATTAACTTGGTCAAGGCCACACAGCTGGTTGGTGGCAGAGTCCCCATCAGATTCTTCTATCAAAGACTGTTTTATTGGTGGTCAATCGCTCCTTCTCCATGATCACCTAATGTACTGACCTGTGTTGCTGACTCTCTTCCATTGCTTTATCAGGGTTTCTAAACCTCAGCACTACTGACATTTGGAGTCAGATAATTCTTTGTGGTGGAAGCTACCCTGTGAGTTGTAGACATATATTCAGGATGCCAGTAGCAGCCCCCAACCCCCTCAGTTGTAACACCCAATGTCTCCAGATAATGCCAAAGTCCCTTAGAATAGGCCAGCATAATCATCCCATTGAGAACCACCTCTCTAGAACCATTGTCTTGCTCAGTGACTATTGGTGCTAAGAAGAGCCAAGGACAGTTTCTAATCCCTACTCACCAGAGAAAGCGTTTTACCCAATTCTCCTTTAATAAGGTAGGAAACAATACCTATATGAAGAACACAGTTTGATAATAAAGTTGGAACCCACAAGAGTTTGTGACAGATCTGCAGTTAATGAAAAAATCTGAATTACCAAATTCCCTATTCTTCCAGAATTTTCAACAATGTCAACTTAATGAGATTTCCAACCATCCTGGGTCAGGCAGGTGGTATGATCTTGCCCCTTAAGCAGCTATTTCCTCAAAATACTTTTCTCTATCATCCTTCTCAAAGATCAGAAATTTAGAGCAGTCATGCTAAAAGGAAGGGGGACAGATGATCAGAAAAATAGATCCTATGATAAGCAGGGTCCATTTATAAGAGCTTCGTATTCATTTCAACAGCTTGTTCTTCCTCCATCCTCAGTCTAAGTACTGAGTCTGAGAGACAGAAATGAATACAGCTGCTCTGAGCCAGTGACTTTCCCATCCAGGATGAGCCCCACCCTCAGCTCCCGCAGTGCTGTTCAAACTTGGCAGGGGGTGACCCAAGGCCCCATTAATAAACCCTGTGAAAAGATGAGTCATCTGAGCTGGAGATGTCCAAATACAAGATTCATATTTTTCCCCATGGCGGTATCAATAAATTTGCATGGTGCATATTAAATGTTTCATTAAAACCCAATGCTAAAGCATTTTCAGGAAGTTATAAACTCCCTTTGGAGGAGACCCGGAAGTCAGGG